GGGGGGGGGGGGGGGGGGGGCGCGGGGGGGGGGGGGGGGGTGAAGGTCAGGTTTGGCTCTTCCCGATGCTTCCCGGAGCAGGAGCTGTTCCTTGTGCGGAGCGCGACTCTAAGGGCGAGCGGGATTTGGTCCCAAGTCCAAGAGCACAACACTTGGGTTCCTGGGGTTTTGCATCTCACCTTCACAGCAAGCCCTGGCTTCGGCAAAGGTGGAAATATGGACACGCGCCTTGCTGCGTAGGTAGATTCCTACCAAAACCCAAGGCAAAGGGTGGCGGATCTGCGGTGGGTCGGCACCTGGGGCTGTCCCCAGCCCCGGGGGTCGCCGCCAAGGGGAGTGCGGGGCAGTTCCCATCCCGTAGGCCCCGGCGGCCGCCCGGCTCACGGCGGGGGTGCAGGCAGGGGCCGGAGGCTTGGGGCTGCCCGGCTCGGCCCCGCACCCCCGAGGTGTGGGCAGGCGGAGCTCTGGGTCCCGCACGGTGGGGTGGAAAGCAGGGAGGCAGCTCTGCCCCCCGGCCAGGGCACAGCCCCGACGTGCGGGGCTCCTGCCTTCTCCCGGCGCTGCCTCGGCCGGCTCGCCTCTTCCCTGAGAGCGCCGGGACGGGGGCAAGCTCGGACGGAGGGAGCGAGGAGGAAAAGTGCTTGTGACTCGTCCTTGTTACACCATGTCACCTCTGTGGAGCAGCCCTCCAGCACGGACGGGCTTTGGGGTCGGGGGCTGCGGACGGGGTGGCAGAACCACAGCAGCCACTAGAAAATTTGTACTCGGGATCAAGCTGCCCGTCTGTTCGTGTTGATCTGGCACTCAAGAGAGCACCGTGGTCCCTCTGAACTTCACTGCCCTTAAGACAAGATCTGCCCTGTAGATCTTATCAAAATATTGTCCTATGGACCTGCCCTGACGTCTGAGTTTCAGCTCCAGCCCAGGATGTTTCTGTTCCGCTGCTTGAGCAATCTTGCCTTCTCCCTGGAAGGGCGCCGGGTTCATCCAGCTCACGAGTCCCGAGGGCAGTCTAGAAGGGGATGCCCTTACCGTAGCCAGGTGGGTTGGAAAGGAAGTAATAATAATTTAAAAAACCGGCCCTGCTGTTGGCACAGTCGAGAGTTTGCCGAGAGCCCAGCTTATCTGGTCAAACACGGCTCAGGCCGCTGCCAAGACGCCGGAGACCTCGGCCGCCCCTCGAGTGGGAGCCGGGCGAGCTCCAGCGGCCAAAGGGCTGCGCGACTGGGCGTTCGAGCTTTCCCAACGTTCTGGGAGATGCGCGGAGCTCGGCCGGATCTGGCCCCGCTCCCCTCCTCTTCCCCGTTTCTCCGCCTCCCCGCAGTCATGTGGTGGCCCCCGCCCGCCCCCCGCCCCGCTCCCCCCACGCACGCAACCGGGGCTCACACCAACTTCACCTAACAGTGAGGGACACCGAGGGCCAGGTTCTCCCGCACTGCCTGCAAAGGGGAGTGAGAGAGAGCCCTGAGTGAGGGGCGAGCTGAGAGCCATGAGTGTCTGACGAGAAACCATCACAATATTTTAAATGAGCTTAGGGCAAACCGGTTATGACATTTTTTTTAATTGACAAACTGTTCCAGATGTTTTCTCCCTTGACTGAGAAGTGTCAGAATTGATGGATAACAAGTATGTAGAGATGCAGTGTTTTAAGGAGGTATGAGGAAAGCAGCTTTATTTGGAATTCACACTCTCAGTACGTTTGTAAGTAACAGATTCATACTTCCTAACGTTTGTCTCTTCTGTGCACTCCTATTGAGATGGTCATGAATAGGACTGTCAAATCCATTTCATAGAGCAACTAGACTTGATAGTTGAGATATTGTGAGGATGGTGTGTGGTTTAAAATGCCTGCGTAAACATGTTATGTAAGGATGGGGAGCTAATTGCATCATTTGTCACTTTTCATCATCTCCACTCAGAAAGATGTACACGAGGATGTATCTATAGCTAGCTACCTAAATATCAGCCTTGTGTTAGAGGGGAAATATGGTGAAAGCCAAGAGAGCCAAAATACGTAACTGCAGCCGGTCCAGAGTATGTGAAGCTGTGACAGAAACGTCCCCTAAGTGGTTATGCATGTCCTACACTTTAATCTTACAGTTTCCGATCATTGGCTGGTAGCTTCTGTTATGAAAGTAGCTGGGCTGACATTGCCAAACAGTGTCTTGGTTTACTACTTAACGTAAAACCTGTTCATCACTGATACCGTTAGATTTTTATGGAGATGCAGAATCCCGCGCTGGGAGCTTTACCTGGTGCGCGTGCGGTAAAGTATCCACTGGCAGGTTAACAGTGAGTCAATGTATGAAAATGCTGAGAGTTTGACGTGATGGATAGAGAATTAATTGTTGCTTTATTTCGTAAGACTGTGCGTTTATTGGTGGAGTCGGTTTTATGTCAGAATCCGAGTTCTGTGGTAATACGGCGGGCAGATATTTACAGCTGTGTGTTCCTTTCTTGAAGCAGAAGAACCTTGTCCCACGTTTCATTTGCTTTTTTTAAGTTCATAGCCCCCTTCTTAAAAACTTAAGTAGATGCTTCCTTCTGTGCTGAAGCGCTAAGCTTTTGTAAACCTGTAAGGCCTCAGTGTATAAAGCTGAAACCCTAACCTACACTTCCACCACTAGCGACGCAAACCCTGCAGACCATGTTATTTCCTTCAGGTGAGAAGCACCAGAACCGAGTCGGTTATGAATGTTTTGCAATGCTTTTCCTTCAAGCCCAGGGTGGAGATTTTACGTGGAGCGACCCTGTAAGCGTGCGTGAGAGAGGGAAAGGGAGAGAGACTCCCTCTTCTGGGTTAAGCACTCAGATTCAGTCTGAACATCACGATTCCTCGCATCGCTCCGGCAGCCAATAACCAGATAACTGCTAAAACTTGTCAAAGGAGGAGAAGAGAAGGGGACGGGGAGGCTTCCAGGAATCCTTTGTCAGGGCTCAGGCGGCGGTACAATGGCCCGAGCGCCAGGCCAAACGCGCACGCCACCAAGCACGTTGGCGGGGCAGCTCCAGCCGCCGGTTTCGCCGGGGAAGGACCGGCTCCCCCCCGCGGCAAACAGTC